TCTTTTCTCTAGCTTATTTTACTGTGAGAATAAGTATATAATACATATATCATACAAAATATGTGTTAATTGACTGTTCATGGTATCGATAAGGCTTCTAGTCAAACAGTAGGCTATTAGTATTTAAGGTTGGGGGGGGAGTCAAAAGTTATATGCAAAAAAAAAAGTTATATGTGAATTTTCAACTGCATGGAGATTGGTGCCCCTAACTCCTTCATTGTTCAAGTGTCAACTATATTTTTCCTCCTCCTCCTGCTTCTTCCAAAGTCTAAGTCTTAGTAAAAATTTTACCATATTTTAGGGTAGCTTCGAAAATACATAGTGTCAGAGCTCAGTGTCTGGCATCAGGAAGGAAAACCTCTTACAAGATATCAGTAGAGAAGTCCAGAGCAAATAAGGTAAACTTGTGGAAAATATAGGTCTTCCTCTGGGGTCTTTCAATGCCTGGGGAGAAGCTGGTTCTCTTGCTGTTATTTACTCAGGATAGGAAGCTCAGATGATTTTATTTTGTTCTAAATGGAAGGAAAGGAAAGGGTGACTCCAGATGCTGGGCTAACTAAAATTTCAAAAGTTAGACAAAAGGAGAAGGAAAGAAATGGGACAATAGATCTAGGTTCCAAAAGCAAAGCTTTATTATTATTATTTTTAAGCTTTTATTTTTTTTTAAAGATTTTATTTATTTATTTGACAGAGAGAGACACAGCGAGAGAGGGAACACCAGCAGGGAGAGTGAGAGAGGGAGAAGCAGGCCTCCCGCCGAGCAGGGAGCCCGATGTGGGGTTCCATCCCAGGACCCTGGGATCATGACCTGAGCCGAAGGCAGATGCTTAACGAGTAAGCCACCCAGGCGCCCCTATGCTTTTCTTATTTTATTTTTTTTTCCTTTTTTAAAGATTTATTTATTTATTTTAGGGGGCCAGGGTGCAGAGGGAGAGAGAATCCCAAGCAGACTCTGTGCTGAGCACAGAGTCCGACAGGGGGCTGGATCTCATGACCTTGAGATCATGACCTGAGCAGAACACCCAACTGACTGTGCCACAAGGTGCCCCTAAGCTTTTCTTATTTTAGAAAGGGAGAAATTTAAAGTTGTTTTTAGGTCCAGAGATTATCAAGGGGGGGCAACTGTCAATCTCCAATCTCATTTTTCTTTTACTGCACAATTGGGTTTTCCCCTCTCCCCACAACTACACCTTAATCTTCCAAAAGGAGACTATGCCATGTCCCATTCCTCAGTTTAGTCCTAAAGATTAAGTCCTGAAGTTTTTAAGCAGCTTCAAGTTGCCTTTCATTATTTTGACCCTGTAGTGTGTCCCAGAGCTAACTTCTGGGCATCTGTATTATTTTTCTTCTAGAGTTAAGAGTTTTTCTTCTATTTTTCTTTGACAGCATCCCTTTATAATGATAAAGTTTGTTCTTAGAAATATTCAGTATCTCTGAGCTTAGGTAACTCCCATTTGTCCTTATTCATATAATAGGGATTCTGCCTATGTCATTCTAATGCTTGTCCTAATAATTTGCTTAGTTTCCCCAGACCCCTCCTAAAACCAGAGCTTTCCTTTTACAAGTCTTCTATCTCACAGGAAAGCTATAATCCACGAGGAGCCATAATACAGAGTGAAGATCCATCAGTCTTGCAGACACTGTTGGTCCCTTTGGATTTCTGTGTTGCTCCCTTCATTTCTTGATTTCTTACGCCAGAGTTTTCCCCTTATGTTAGAAAACCCTCCTACCCTACTTGGGCTTTTGGTGATTAGAGTACTGATGATTATTTCCCCCTTGCACATGAGGGTGGTAATAAGGCTGTTATCAAATTTTATGTTCTTCTTCTAGTAACATGGTATAGTATTACATTTCTCTTGAAGTTAGGTTTGGCCAGATGACTTTGGCCAATAAAATGTGATTGGAGGTGATGTGTATTGCTTCTGAGTGGAAGCACTTTAATGGTTAGAGCAAAAACACTGCAGTACTAGTAAATGAATTTTATGAGCCTTACTGTAGCAATCTTCTCTCTCTCTCTCTCTTTTTTTTTTTTTAAGGAGGCTCTACACCTAACATGGGGCTTGAACTCAAGACCCCAAGATCAGGAGTCACATGATCTATGGACTGAGCCAGCCAGGTGCTCCCCTAACTGTAGGAATCTTGAAAGCATGTATCTCAGTGAAGCCTCCAAAAATCTGGTTACCTCAGTGACTAAAATGAGCAGAATCCATGTAATGGATATTGTCCTGAGCTCCCCAGATCCACCCTTTAGGACTAAAGCACAACCTCTCCCCTCAGCTGGGTTCCCCTCTGAGGGTTGGTCTTGGCTAAAGAGAGTCCTCTCATCCAAGGGTCACCTTCCTTCCCTGGGTGCAGTCCATATCCAATGACAGGTTGGTGAGAGGGTATAATGATCGGGCCTCCTGTCCCAATTTAGGACAATGCTGAAGGGCCATCCCAGCTCCAAGCTCCCTGCAGACTGGCTGAAGCCTCAGCTGCAACTGTGTTGTAGTTCAAGTTCTCCTTTTCCAGTGATTTTGTGACCCTCAATCTCCAAAGGTTGTTCTTGAGAGGACTACCTAATAACTTCCTGAATGCAAATTTCAGTTTCAGGGTCTGTTTCCCAATGAATCCTACTTGTAATAGGCTTCCTGATGACCTGTATCAAACATGTAACATGTGTGAGAAATAAACTTTTGTTGCTATAAGCTGCTGAGATGTTTGTTACAATCTAGCCTATCCTGACTAGCGCAGATACAAACCTTGCCTGCCCTGCCAATCCTTTGTTTTCACTTGAGCTTGATTGTATTGTGTGTCTGGTCTTCGTGAACATACTGATGGCCCAGTTCTAGTTCTTCTCTGATGGTCTTTCTCATAGTGAGTGAAAAGCCATGTCCCAACTGAGATATTACAAGGAGCAACAGAAAAGGGAAAAGGGTTGCCTATCTAGTTGTCTACTAATTATTCCTACCAAGTCAGTGGCATATATTTTTTTCATGTGAATTTCCTAGGCTCCTTTCTTCTTCTTTTATATATATATATTACCATACATTTATAATATGTATAAGGGTACTTAATGTTTCTTAGGAAAATTTTTATGCAAATAAAAATAGAATAACCAAGTACTTAATCCCAATTTGAGAAAGAACAGTATATTGCTAATTAATAAGCTTTCTGCATCTCTAACTTACTAAAATCCCATTTCTCTGAGTGCTAGATCTTATGTCTTGAAAGTCAAATGGCAAAACAATACCAGTTTCTTATTTTAGGCCTTTTGGGCAAAGAAAATATAGTAATAAAGTAATGAATCAAAGCTCCTTCTAATTTCTTTCTTTTTTTTAAAAGATTTTATTTATTTATTTGACAGAGACACAGCGAGAGAGGGAACACAAGCAGGGGGAGTGGGAGAGGGAGAAGCAGGCTTCCTGAGCAGCAGGGAGCCCAATGTGGGGCTCGGTCCCAGGACCCTGGGATCATGACCTGATCTGAAGGCAGACGCTTAACGACTGAGCCACCCAGGCGCCCCTAATTTTTTTCTTTTTAAGGGATTTTACTATATAGAAATATTTCTTTCTGCCTGAAGGGTAAACAGTACAAAAATATTTCCACTAAAAAGAGTCTGAGAATCCTGGGTTGGTATTATCAAAACCTGTAATTATACTAGATATTTAGTATGATAACAGCAACTAGTTTAAGGAATGTGGAGGTTTATTTACATCAAGTTCAGATAAAGAGATAAAAGGGGACTTGGATACGAAAATAAAGGGTATGACTTCAGGAGTGTTTGTATGAATGTGTCTTTGGAACTGACCTTACCCACAATGAAAGACCAGCCAAACCAGCCTTCAGAATAACTGTTCTTATTAGAAGGAAGGCTAGACTTCACCTCGAAGATCGCCCTCCCACGCAATTTTTCCACCTGGCAGTTAAGAATTAAACACAGACTTCCGATCATGGCGCCACGCACGTCACTTTCTCCCCTTTTCCCCAGCAAAATCCCACCCAAGTCGACCTGATCCCGCAGGAGGTGTGCAAAGCCTGCAGGGCCGGGGGTGGGGGTGGGGGAGGAATTCCTTCTCCTATCCTGGTTGCTTGGGTTTTTTGCAATTCGAAAAACCGACTAAACAGATCCTTTCCAGGAAGCTTTGGTACCAACAGGACCTTTTCATTTCCTTGGGTGCGTGTCATTCTTTGCTCTGGGGCAGCAACTCCTCACCGCAATTTTCCTTTCACATGTCCTAAAAAGCCCCTAAGGCCCACAGCCTTTGTGAATAAAGGCCCACCCTCGAAGTGGAAACCGCGCGGCAAAGACAGAGACGCATACACAGCGGGACAATGTATGGAATTTAAAAAAGAGTTTTCTCTCTGACTTCGCATCCTTTCAAAGGTCCAATATTTCTGTCAGCTAAGAAGGGCTACGGTAATGGGCGCTTGAGAGAAGCAGTACACCGATAAGAGCAAAAATATCCATTTAGGCTGGTGTTTCCAGTTCCGGCTTTTGTTTGAGTCAGTGAGGGGAGCCCGAGGAGGCCAAGGTCTACAGTTCTGGGAAAGGAGGGTTCTTCTGCATTCTTTGGGATACGGAGACGTAGGCTCGGCCCCAAGAAACAACGAGGGCAGTTCCGCCCCTCAAGGCTTTACGCCAGGAGTCCCGGAGGAGACCGCGACACCTCAGTCCGCGGCTAAATCACCCAGCTCAGAGGAGTTTGCCAAGGCTGGACAAAAGATGTGGCCGCTCTCTCTTAAACACATACACAGATCCCGAGGTGCACGTATGGAAGGTTTACGTGTACGACGGAGAAAGGCCATTGCTGCCCACTGCGCGCTGCCGGCCCCACCCTGCCCTCGGCGGCCCCGGAGAGACACGCTACGCGAGGGCCGCGGAGTCCGTCTCAGCTAGCCCGGGAGCGAGGGGCGGGGCCGGGCGGGGCCGCGAGCGCGCAGGCGCAGTGCGGGCTTCCTCGCGCCGCCGCCGCTGCCGCCGCCGCCGCCGCCGCCGCCGCCCGCGCTGCACCACAGGCCCGAGACAGACAGGGCCGGGAAGAGCCGGAGACTGAGGAGGAGGCGGAGGCGGAGGCGGCGGCGGAGGCGGGGCGACTCCGGTGACCGGGAGCGCCGCAGACTGGCAGCTGCGGCGACTCCCCCCTTTGTGTCTGGTCTGCTCGGAGCCACTGGAAGTGCTTCCCGGAGGGGTGCGGGGTGTCTCGCCGCCCCGTCGCCCACCCCCCTCCTCAGCCAGCCACCTACCTCCGCCCTCCCGCCGCCCCCCGCCCTCGGCCCGCGACGCCCGAGCTCCGCCCGGGGCCCAGAGCTGCGGGAGAACGAGGCGGCGGCGGCGGCGGCAGCGGCAGCGGCTTCCTCGGGGGGGGGGGTTGTGATTCGCTCACAGGAGCCATTGACGGGAGAAGACGAGGCTTTTCTTCGTGGAATTTACCTCAGGCAAGATCGAGCGGCCGCAATAAAGAGAGAGAGAGAGAGGAGCGAATCCGGGAGGGCTGGAAAGGGCAGCTCCCCGCACCTCCTCTCCGCCCGCCGTCTCGGGGAGCTCGGGGCCCTGCCTGCTGACCCTTCCCCTCCCCCGCTTCCTACTGCCCCTCAGCCCTCCGGCCGGGCCCTGGCACAACCGCGCAGGATTGTTCGGCGAAGGCTTGAAGGCTGTGTGGGTTTGTCCATGGAGGCAGGCACCTTTTTCGATTCAGTCGAGGAACGGGGTTTGTTGTTCTCGAAATCCGAGTGAAGGAAGCACCGAAGCGAAACTTAAAAAGGAATCCTGCCCTCCCGGAGCCACGGGCGATGCGACTCGTGCGGCCGGGCGCCGCCGCCGCCCGCCCGGCTTCGCCCTTCGCGGCGGTCGGGAACTTGTTCTGATCCTCAGCCCCGCCATCGAATCCCCGCTCTCCAGCCCCCTGCACCCTGGATATGTTTTCTCCCAGACCTGGATATTTTTTTGACATCGTGAAACTACGAGGGAAATAACCGCTGGGCTTTCTTTCTCCCTGCTTCTCCACACGGACATGCCTTCAGTTTGGGTGGCCGAGGCACCCCGTCCTAGGCGAATGAACCTCTCCAGCCGCGAGGGAGAGAAATGAAGGGAATTTCTGCAGCGGAATGAAAGCTCTGCAGCTAGGTCCTCTCATCTGCCATTCGTCCTTTCAAACTGCATTGTAATACCTACGGGCCGGACAAGTCAGACGAGAGCGAGGACCAGCCTCCCGGCCGTACCTCTCCGCCCGTGTTTACTTTCCGTATTTCTTTGCTCTGCTGCTTCTCGGCTGGCCCAGGGATGACTGCTTCGCTGCAGCGGCCCCGGTGGGTGCCGTCGCTCCTGTGGACCGTCCTGCTGGTCAGCACTGCGGCCGGTGAGTAGCCCCGGGCGGCGCGTCGGGCCGCTGCCCCAGCGGGTGGCGGGCGAGGGAGCCCGCAGAGGCCGAGGCCTGCGCTCGCCCTTCGCGACGCGTCCCGCAGTCAGTGTGGAGGGAACCGTGTCCGGTACCTGCGCGCCTTTCCCGTTCCTTCTAGGGAAATAACCCTGCCGGGTTTTGTGTAGTTTCGAATCCCTACTGCCATATCCCCCCTCCCCATCCCCCACGGGGGGGGGGGGGAAAGACATATTGGGTGTGGTATCTTGACATTTTTAGCTGTGAGGTAATGCAGGGATTAAAAATAATATTTTAATCGCCAATGAACAGTGTCTATTATGAGATCTTTGGAAACAGAGCTGTAGATTTTTTTTTTTTTAAACGTAAAGAAGCTGATTTGGCTTACAGTAAAAAGAACATCAACTATAGAACACACACTTTAACCTTATTTTTAGATTTAGATCATTCTTTGGGAATCCATGTTACTTTCATTATTCCGAAATGTTACCGAATGAATTGGATAAATGTTCAGTAAGCCGGAACTTTGAGATTCTTAATACGTTGTATGATATTGTTAATTATTGCCGTTAGTATTATTTTGTTCCAAAGTATTTTGGTAATTATATTTCCATCTTTTCAACGTAAATACACTCGTATTTTATATGCTTTTGGAATTACTATTGGGCTTGAAAGTATTGTCGATAACTTTATATTTTAGTCATCTGGTATCTGTTGGTTCCTGTCATTGAGACAACTTTTACCTCACATCAGATGTCTAGCATATTTGAGTCCTGAAAGTTCTTTGACATTTTACTAAGCTTAAAGGGAAATGGTAGTCATCCTTTCCTTAGGATATTTTCTTTTTAGTTCCCAGACACCTTAGAGAAAGCCTCATTTCTTTTACAGTTATTTTTCAAGCAGTCTTTTGGTGATAAGCTTTTAGACATTTTTGGGAGTGAACTGTACATGTAATTCTTAAGTTTGGTGTAGGATGGCCAAATAGATTATGCATTTAAAACTGAGTAAAGGACAATATAACAGCTTTCCAATTACTTTTTTAATTTATACAAGTGTGTACTTTTCACATTCAATAAATTTCTCATTGCTATGCTAGACACAGAGTTTGCTTGCTTATTTCCTTAAAACTATGCATTGGGAAAATTCTGAGTGAAAATTTGAAGTTTCCTTTAGTGCCTTTGATATTGGTTGATTAATGTCTATTATGTTTATGATAAATCTATGTAGTATTAAAAGAATTCGAACTTTTGAACTGAATGTATTTTGAAACTGGCATTTCATTATCCTTAAACACAATTCCTTTTGGGATAAAAATGAACAGTTTTTTCTAGGTTTCTTTATAGTGTGTTAGCTATTTAAATTCTCTTGCTGTAAGTCTTGTGATTCCTGTAAAATATGAAGAGAGTAAAAGGCTTTAGGCTTAAGCAGTCATTTTATGAGCAGAAATCTCAGAACACAGACTTTGCATTGTTCTTTGTTATTCTTAACCTTTTTAGAATGTAGATTCTCATTTATAGTTACAGGCTTATCATTTTGTGATCAGAACTGATAACAGTAAGGGAAAGAACATTGATTTAAAAATACATTTAATTTGTATTTGGTAAATAAAATAGAATAATGTCCTTTAAAACGGAGGGATTGAAAGAATCACTACTTAAAGTGGTATTAGTCTTCTTTTTTTTCTTTAGTATTACACATAGTACCAGATGCCAAAATTTGTGAAGCTGAGTTTCAGAGCTATAACAATAATAGCTAGTGTTTATTGAGTGCTTGCTCTGTGCCAGCAACTATTCTACTAGCTTTACATGTATTTTCTCATTTGATCCTCATGACAATTCTGTACTCTAGGTTTAATTATGTTCCTTTTACAGAGAGGGCAAGTGAAGTACAGAGAATTTAAATCACTCACCACAGAGTAAATTGTGGAGCCAGGATTATAGCCTGTACCCTTACCTATCACATTAATGGTAACAACAGCTCACTCTAATTGGGAACATAAGATAGAGTAGTGCCTTTACTAGATTAGCTTTTGAAAATAAGTAGGGACACTTGACAGGATCATCATTCAGCACTGGTTATGCAGATGTCATGGTTCTAAATGTATAAAACTTTGCCTAATATTGGAGTGGCTAGTACAGTTTCATTAGGTGCAGGGTGACTAGAGAGAGCTTTTGTGGACTTGGGATACATAGATGTAGTGATGTAACCAGATAGGTGCAAATAATGTTTCTGATAGGAAAAAAATACTGGAAGACTGGTTGATATCACATCCCTCTTGGGGGCCATGGATAAATCCTTTATTTCTTTTGAATCCCTCTCTCCCACTTACTCTGTCTAGTTCTTGGATTCCTTAATTCTAAGAACATTTTGTATGCAAAAAATTAGAATTTATAAAAAATACAATGTGCTTGTTTGGTTATAAATGAATTCTTAATTTTAATAAAAGGATATAATACAATGCAATGCTTATTGCAGAATCAGCTTCTGTTAAAAAATTTTTTTTGGAAAAAAAGTTGTCACTCTTTATTTAGATTGTAATGGTAACAGATAACATATGTAACCCCATATCCCACCCTATTCTGTGCAGGCGCTTGAGCGGGCTCAGCTACCCTTTCCTCTAGTCTTCTTGTCCTCCTCCTTCTTGTCTTTCTTGCCATCCTTGGTGGCCTGGGAGGCCGGGGAGCCCATGACATTTCGAACAGCCCCTTTGTTGGGATTCACTCCTGGAAGGTTCTCCAGAGCATCTGAAGGACCTCGGGATTCTGCATCACATCATAGTTCTCCTCCTTAGCTGGCTCAGATGTGTCTAATGGCTGGACTGACATCATTGTCAGTTGAATCTTCCTGCATTTGAAATAATTCACTTGATTAGATTTTTTTCTTTCTTCTTCTTCTTTTTTTTTTTAAAGTAAACTCTGGGGCTTAAACTCACAACCTCGAGGTCAAGAGTTGCATGCTCTGCTGACTGAGCCAGCCAGGTGCACCTACCTTGATTAGATTTCAGTTTTACATCTCTTTAGGAATACAAATTTGTCTAAAGGAAAATTCATCTATTTAGTTAGGGTTCTTGAGCACTGAAGTTAATAAATATTGTTGGGGAACTGGAAATTTAGTAATTTTTATTTTTGTATTTCTTAACATGTGGGCACTGCAACAGGGTCACCTGTGGATTTTTTTTTTTTCTTAAGATTTTTATTTATTTATTCAACAGAGAGAGAGGGAGAGAATGCCCGCACAAGCAGGGGGAGTGGCAGGCAGAGGGAGAGGGCGAAGCATGCCCCCTACTGAGCAGAGAGCCAGATGCAGGACTCCATCCCAGGACCCTGGAATCATGACCTGAGGTGAAGGCAGATGCTTAATTGACTGAGCCACCCAGATGCCTGGGTTTTTGTTTTTTTTTTAAATTGATTTATTTATTTGAGAGAGAGAGCATGAGCAGGAGGAACAGATGGAGAAGGAGAGAGAGTCTTAAGCAGACTCCGTGCTGAGTGCAGAGCCAGATGCAGGGCTCTATCTCATGACCGTGAGATCACAGCCTGAGCCAAAGCCAGAAGTCAGACACTCAACAGACTGCGCCACCTGCGCGCCCCATCATCTGTGGTTTTTGATAAAATGCGTATCTCTGTCACTATAGTCTAGATGTACTGAAAGGATCTCTCTGGGAACTATACTTTTTTTAAACTTGGAAACCTGAAAGATTCTCCCTTAGGCAAGTTTGAGGACCACTGATTTATATAATCAGTCTTGATTGTTTGGATTTTTAAAATATTGTGATTCAGTCAGCTTTTGCTGCATAATAGCTGGTAACCACAAAATCATAGTGACATACAACAATAAGCATTTATTCTGCTCCATTTGTCTCATTCTTGGGCCCAGGCTGGAGGGAAGGGTAACATCTCTCTGGGGGAAGCTTGTTTCATGGCAATGGCAGAAGTACAAGAGGACAAGCCCAGTCCCACCAGCCATTTTCAGATTCTTGTTTCTCTGACATCCCATTTGGCCAAGACCAAGACAAGGAGTAGTGAAGTACACTCTGGCTATAATGAGGCCATGGTAATATATGGACTTGTGATACTATTGCTGGGAAATCAAGAATTGGGATCTTCAGTCTACCACATATGATCAGGAAGATGGTTCAGGAGAGGAGTTTCTCTTACCATTTGAACAGGGCGAAACTTTTAATTAGGCTTTTGCATAAAAATTATACAAACTTTGATCTCTACAAAAGCCTATCCTGGCATGTGGGGTGATGTGGTGGTACTGATATTGGTGTATATGAAATATGGGGACAGAGATTAATTTCACACAAGGACAATAGCTTTCCTTCACTAAAGACCAACTTTCTTAACATAGAGAAGAAATTGAATATTGATTTCTGATGGGTAGATTCTAACTATAAAAGGTACAGGATGAAGTCAGTGTAAATTAGTTAATTTTATAAATGGCCATACCACTTATTTTGGCACTTACTCATATATTGCCTTGCTTTTGAATATCAGTTTTATGTATTTGCTTTGTCCTCCTAACTGATAATTGCTTCTTGAGGACCGACTTCGTATCTTAAACTGTTTTGTAATCTATCATACTGCATGCAGATAGAAGAAGATGTTTAAGAAATACTAAATTAATGAATAATCAAAAAGAATTGGAGCCAGGAAGTATTCTAAGATTGCTTACTTACTCAAATGATCTATTAGTAATTTATTCTTTATTCCCATTTCTTCAACTATAAAGTAGTTTAAGTGGTATAGTAAGGACACTCCTGTCATGAATTAATGAAACCTAAATTCTCTGTGATTCTGGGTAAACAGATTACTCAACAGAGTTTTCTCAGTTATAATATTGTGGGATTGGACTAGATTATGTTTGAAATGCAGATTCATGGGAACCACCGTAGGCCTACTTAATCTGAGTATCTGGACAGTGAGTTTGGGAATTTGCATTTTATTTTATTTTATTTTAAGATTTATTTTTATTTATTT